AATGCTGGGCTTGAACTCACAACCCTGAGATCAAGACCTGAGCTGAGATCAAGAGTCAGATGCTTAACTGACTGAGCCAGCCAGGTGCCCCTCAAACATTTTTTAGAATTCAATTTTAATTTATCTGTAGGGTTTGGACTGTATCTCTTTGTATAGCTTTTTTAGTCGTTGCTCTAGGAATTCCATTATAGGTATATCACTTAATATAGTCAGCTAGTGTTGTCATTTTACCAGTTTGCACAGGGTATAACAACACTGACTCCCGGGGCGCCTGGGTGGCTCAGTCATTAAGTGGCTGCCTTTGGCTCAGGACATGATCCCGGGGTCCTGCGATCGAGCCCTGCATCGGGCTCCCTGCTCAGCGGGAAGCCTGCTTCTCCCTCTCCCACTCCCCCTGCTTGTGTTCCCTCTCTTGCTGTCTTTCTCTGTCAAATAAATAAATAATATCTTTAGAAAACAAACAAACAAAATTAACTCCCTTTATGTACCCTTGCTCTCCCCTGTTAATGACTTAATTGTCTTTAATATTTCCAAATCACACTCACCTCAGACAGTGTGTTACAATAGGACCATATCAGACAGTGTTTGCATTTTTGCTTCCACCATCAAACATAATTTAGAAAACTCAGGAGGAGGAGGAAAGTCTATTATATTTACCCATGGTTTTGCTTACCATGTTCTTCCTACTTAATATCCAAGATTTCTTTTATTGTTTCCTTTCTATTCAAAGAACTTCCTTTAGCCATTCCTTTAGGTAAGTCAGCTGGCAATAAATTCTCTTCATCTCCCTCATCTGAAAATGTCTTGATTTTCTCTTCCACAGGGGTGGTGATGAATGTCCTGACTCTCTGATCCCACCCAAGCAGGTAGGGAGAGAGGTTTCTCATTACATTGGGGGTGGTTGAAGCCTCCACATATTCTTCACTGACACCAGAGGAGTTGGGTAGGGGAGAGACACAGCAGGGGCTCATTGATACCTGGCAAAGACGAAAGTCTAGGCCCCCAACTCAACCTTTGCTGGCAGGGGTAAGAGTGAGGTTATTTGTCTTTTGTTTTGTTCTGTGGTGTTGGCTGGAGTAGAATAGTTATTGCCTGAAATTCATCTGTCAGGCTGCCTCTTTGTGGTCTATTATCTAAAGAGAGCAGAATTTTATTGAGTTTTGTGGTCTGTGCTCATTGGTATTTCTAGGTACAGCTTTCCCAACACCCAATCTAGTACATATAAGGCCTAAAGAAAATCCAAGGAACTCACAACCATGTCATTATTTGGGTCCTGAGATCTCTAACCTTCTTTTATCCACTCTTTTAGACTCAGGTAGGTTGGTTTTATATGTAATGGATTAAATAATCCAGTCAAAAGGCAGAGATTATCAGACTGGATAAATTAAAAAAAAAAAAAAACAAGGTCCAACTATAGGCTGTCTACAAGAGACACATTTTAGATTAAAAAATTTGAACAAGTTGAAAGTAGTATGGAAAAAGATGTGTCATGGTAAAGAGCAACCATAACAAACCAAGAGTGGCTATACTAATATAAGACGAAATAAACTTTAAAAAATTGTTACTAGAAATAAAAATCATTTGGTAATGATAAAAGGGTCAATCTATCGAAAGATTATAGCAATTTTAAGCATATATGCATCTAAAAACAGAGCCCCCAAACACATGAAGCAAAGTGTGACAGATTCAAGGGTAGAAATAGATAGTTCAATGATAATAGTCAGAGATCACAACTCCATACTTTAAGTATTGGATAGAACAACTAGGAATAGAAGACTTGAATAACACCATAAACCAATTAGATCTACCAAACATCTTTTGAACATTCTATCCAATAATAGCAAAATACATATTCCCCAGAAGTGCACATGGAGCATTCTCCAGGATAGACACATGCTAGGCTGTCCTAATTCATGCTACAGTATGATGAACCTTGAAAACATTAAGTTAAAGAAGCCAATCACAAAGGACCACATATTGTGGGATTCCATTTGTATGGAATGTCCAGAATAGGCAAATCTACAGAGCCAGAAAGTAGCTTAGTGGTTGTCTAGGGCTGAGGAGAGAATGGGGGAATTGGAGAGTTATCGCTAAGGGGTATGGGTTTCTTTTTGTAGTAATAAAAATGTTCTAAAATTGATTATAGTGGTGGGTGCACAACTTTGTGAAATACTAAAAACCATTGAGTTGTACACCTGAAGTTGGTAAATTTCATGGTATGTGAATTGTGTCTCAATAAAGCTGTTTTAAAAATGTATGGTTTTACAGTGTCTAACTTCAACATAGTGCTTGAATGCTTGCACTAACTGAACATTGCTAACAAAACAGACTGAAATCCAAGAGAAAATGCAGGCTGGTTTCTACTTTGATGCATTCACATGTAGGGGAAATGAGGAATCAAACTTCTCAATGGCTGCAGTAGTCAGTCTCTAAGGAGCCCCTAATTGTTCTTGTCTCCTGGTATTCACACTGTTGTATAGTCCCTTCCCAGATTATACCAGGGTTGGTTGTGTGACCAATAGAAAATGGCAGCAATTATGGTATGTCACTTCCACAATTAAGTCACAAGACTTTGTGGTTTCCATTTGAGTTTTTACACTTCAGTTGGATAAAAGAAAATAAAAAGAAGCAGCACTGTGGTATTTGGACTCTTTGGACTTACCCTTCAGTCATTTCTCATTCTTTTGCCTTATTATTTGACTATTAGGGGCAAATAAATTCTGATAAACTAATCAGGAGGGCTGATGTTCTATAATACTTTTCAGCATTATGCACTGAAAGCCATTTGGAAGGTTTTGCCTAAAAATTCCATCCAATGGATTACAATTGGTATGTAGAAACCAACCAGTGAAATGAAAGAGAAAAACCTGCTCCTACCATTACACATGCATGCTTATGTTGATAAAATCATGGAGTAGCCTTATCCAAGACTAATATACCTAATACAATAGGTGGAGAAATTGTACTTTTAATGATATACTTTTTCCAAGAAAAAAGGTGCCAAAGAGTTGAGTAATTCTGGAGGCTTGTTAGTTACTTACAGGTAGGAAAGTGTCCACTCCCTTCTATTCTGTTCCACCCAAGTCCATTTTCACAGTGATCTTAACTACATAAAAGCTAAACAAATATTTACCCAGAAGTAAAACAGTAGTCATGTCAGGGACCATAATAATTCGCAGTTAAAGTATTTAACTCATCAAAGGAGATCCTGGTAAAGAAAAGGCCTGAGAAAGATGTGGTCTACACAATTCCAGATACTCGTATGAAATTTTTTAAAAAAAGGACAATTATCCATTTACATGTTCTATATCATATGAATTCAGCAAAAGCCAATGAGCTTCTGAAAGCCCCTACTTGCTTTGCACTATTTGCTCACCTTCAAGTGTATGACCTAGTAAGAATAAATAAAGTGTGAGTAATGGGTAGCCACAGTAAATTCCTTTCTACTGGATGTTAGTGATACAGATGTTAATGGTAGATTCATTCTTTAAATCATCTAATAAATATTTATGAGCACTTGTTATCACGGATATGTCTCAAATTTTGGCCCCTCTAACATTTATTACCAAATTTTAAGGCATAACAGGCTATACTTTCAGGAATTTTCCCTAGAAAATTTTACCTTCATAAATGTTATTAATGATTTGGGTCAATTTACATCGTACATAAGTCCGAATGCCTTTTTTTCAAAGGGGGAAGTAATTTAACCTTACATTTTATAGTCAAACTACTCTGTAAAAAGCAATTCATTTTTGTCCTGCAACATAAAAGAAAGACTTAAAACACTGTTATTGACAACAGTAATTCTTTTATTCAAACTGTTCTGAATCTTACTTCCAAATTTAGAACACATACACATTAGGAAATTTATTTCTAATAGTAAGCGTATTATTTTTTAAAGGGTAATTCTGCACTTTGCATATTGTCTTGTATTTTTCTGTCAAGTACTAACCAACTGTAACTACATATTTATTTGAATGGTCTTTGATTTAATGATGATTTTACCGACTAGACCTAAACGCCATGTTGAAGATAAGGACCATGACTCAAGATAACCACTGTATCCTTGAGGCTTATACAAGTTCCTGGCATGTAGTTGATGTTCAAAAAATTTTGGTTGAATGAGTGAATGAATGAAAGACCCTAACAGTAGATAATATTATGGAACAGATCGGTGGTTTAGAAGGATTTGTTCATAATCTAAATGAAATATGTAGAAAAATTTTTAAATGAAGGTAAAAAATATAAATTCGCCTAAGGGAGCTATTCCAAGTGACTTTCTAGTCAGGATGTGCCCTGCCCTTGGCTCTTGAACCTGAGTGTGCCGGTTCATACATGCAAATGAGCTTGTTCTGGCCCTGAGGCAGTGTGAGCCAGGCTGCAAAGTTCATGCTGTGACAGTGAGTCAGCACCATGAACACTACGGACTCACTGCTTACAAGGCAGCCTGTTGGGCCTATCACAAAATGAATAGTGGCACAGTGGTTTCTAGTTAATACGGCATGGCTCCCTTCTGTTGATAGCACCACACCACTCTTCCATAGAAACTCAACTACTGAGACAAAGCAGCCCCTACTCCAAGTGCTGTAGCACACTAATGAATTTCCCATTATGGAAAGAAGGCTGGGAAGATCAAGTTGACCATTAGCCACAGCCACAGAAGCCAAGAAACAGAAAGGAGTTAAGAAACTAAAAGAAGTCTTGCATAGTATACTGGTAGTGTCCATCCTCAAGCCTATAGTCTATCAAGTGCTTAAATTTGGGTGACACATTTAATGGATAATTTCCAATTCTGTTTTTTTGTTAGGATTTAAAAACCTGGTAAGATAGGAAGAACCTCAGGGCAGAGTAATTTGCAGAAATATGGGTTAAATTTATGTTTCTGTTCGCTCTGTGTTGGATATCACTCCAGTTCAGCTATTAAATCCCATTTACACATTTTGAGTTACAATTTAATATATGAGCAAAAAAAGTAAAAAATAAAAAAAAAAGCAGCTTACCCACACTGAGTTCCATTTGTCACATTCTGGTTAAGGGAGCTGTTGAGCCATACTATAGTGTTGTTCACACATGCTTTTCCAGGGATCTTGAGTTGTTGTAATTCAGTGTCATATTCAATAAAAACATCTGTCATTGTGCCAAAAATGAGCAGCACGCCTGGATGGGATAGTCCATGGAGAAATGCACATAAACTTCCCACAAACATCAGCCAAATGTCAGTCGTTGAAGAGAACCGAAACTTGAAAAACAAAGGATTCAGAGATCATCTATGGTGAAAAGCAGGAGAAGTAGGACTATTTAATTTTAGTTACTAGATTCTGATAAATAGCATTCAGCACCAAATTTTATTAGAATCATCTTCATTGAAAAGTAGAGTTTTCACTAATTATATCAACATAAATGGTATATCGGGGGACCTGGGTGGCCCAGTTGGTTAAGCATCTGTCTTCGGCTCAGGTCATGATCCCAGGGTTCTGGGAACAAGCCCCACATTGGTCTCTCTGCTTAGTGGGGAGTCTGTTTACCCTCTGTCTCTTCCTCTGTGATCTCTCTCACTTTTGCTCTCTCTCAAATAAATAAAATCTCTTTTTAAAAAAAGTTATATATCAATTATCTAAAACACTAGACTCTTACATTGCTAGTTTATGTTATTTCTTTCCTAGTCTCTGAATTCATTCTCTTTACCTCAAGAACTGACTTCAGGTCTTAGCCATTGATTCACAACTTCAGTGGGAAGTGGTCACTGGCATTGATGCCATTGCTGTGTAGAAAGACTGTGTGAAGCATTCAGCAATAGCATGAATTTATCCCAGAACTGATATTGACAAACAAGAGTGACTATTCGTGCCTAGAGATGCCTCTACCTTGTGAAAATTTGGGGAAAATACCACACTATGGAATTTCCAAAGATATGTCATAAGGATAAATATACATCATATGATTACTGTGATGATTTTCTTTACTAAAATAATTATGGGCTTAGTGATTATTTTCCAGGACACATTTCTAATCTATCAGATAGGATTTATGTGTTTAATATTATTTTATTTATTTATTTATTTATTTATTTATTTATTTAGCGGTGGGGAGAGAGAGAGTGGGGAGGGACAGAGGGAGAGGGAGAGAGAGAATCTTAAGCAGGCTCCACACCCAGTGTGGAACCCAACACAGGGCTCAATCTCACAACCCTGAGATCATGACCTGAGCTGAAATCAAGAGTTGGATGCTTAACCAACTGAGAAACCCAGGTGCCCCAGGATTTATGTTTAATTACCAATATACTCTAACCATTTAGCATGTTATTACATAAAGTTTCTGACCGAAAAAGTGAACACTGTACTTAAAAACCTGCCAGTGACTAAAGATTTAACACTCCCTCCATGATCTGAACAATTTGCAGTTGCAAAATTTATGTCAAAAATCAGCACAGTTTTATTACCAATTGAAAGAAGCCAACTGGACTGCTGTCACCTTTCCTCTCATCTTGTAACCTGAGGAGAAAAACATATGGATTTATAGACCATTCTTTCCAAAACAAAGAGAAATTCTCCCTGGGTAAGAATTTTATGAGTCATCCTTCAGTGAGAAATAAAGTCCCCACTGACTGAGAAATTCTTGCCAAACCTGGCATCCTAAAAACAAGCTCTTATTTTTCAGATTTACCTCTTCCAGAGATTTCAGTATAGCTATATGTCATGTTCAGCAGAGATTCAGTGAAGTTTTTCTGAGAGGTATTGAAAGAAAATAAAAAGTGCTCTGTACTCCCAGTTATTCTAACATAAAACTGTTGGACCTCAGCCTTGACCCTCAACCTGTTTCTGTTTACATTTCATTGTAATGTAACTTGAGGTGGTTGGATTAGCTGATTTAAAGCTTCCTTCTAGCACTTAAAAATCTTACAAATACATTAAATAGTATTGATATGATGGGAAAGTTTTAAGAACTCCCATACTTCCCATAAAATTGTATTTCCTTAGTATTTCTTACTCATTTCATGTCTCATAAAGTTGTATCTAACCCATCTTTGACCGTCTCCACTCCAGGGATCTCTACTTCACCTGAGTCATCCATTCATGGAAACACCCTGGACCTTTCTTTCACCAGAAACTACTCCGTTGGCATTCTGGGACAGCCTATGCAGCCTGTTTTGTCACTTCCTTCCTCCTTCTACACCTGTTTGTCATCTTAGTTGAGATCTGCAGTCCTTTAAACCCTCGTTAATTTCCAAATGGTAAAACCCCATCAAGATTGTGCTTCCTTCCCCATGCCTCCCAGATCCCACACCAGCCATTTGGACTACATTCTTACCATCATCCTTAATCCTTTTCCCCACTACATCTTTGGAAACTCCATCTCTGCCTCCATGCAGCTGTTTGCCCCTGTCCTCCCAAAGCCAGGCTGTGGGGCCTGCTGGAGACAAGCTCTCCACCATGTGAACTGATGCCAACACATGCCATGCCTGACAGTCAGCTGCCCTAAGCTTCCCCTCCAGCTCAGAGTAGAATCCCAAGTCCTTGCTGAGATGCCCAAGGCCCTCCACGGTCTGGCCAATTGGCTCTCTGACCTTGTCTCCTCCTACTGCACTCCAATTCTCAGCACCCAAGCCACTTGGCCTCTTTGCTGACCTTTGTTCAGGTCAAATTTATTCTCACTTCTGACCATTTGCACTTGCTGTTTCCTCTCGCCAGAATGCTCTTTCTTCAGATACCTGCATGACCAACCCCCTCATCTCCTTCAGACTTTCCCTCATAAGTCACCTTCTCAATGGGACCTTCCCTGGCCAAAGCCTTTAAAATTTCAGCTTTCTCCCCACATCATTCCATATCTCCATTCCATGTTTGCTTTTTTTCTTCTTAGAAAGAAAGTGATAGATTATTACTAGCTACCATGCTATATATTGTATTTATTTTTGGTGCATATTATGTCACCCTCACTAAAATGTAAACTCCTCAAGGACAGATATATTGGCTCATTTTGTTCTTTTCTGTATCCTAAGCACTTTAATAGTGCCTGACATCTGGTAGGCACTTAATTAATATTTGTGAAATGAATGGATGCATGAATGAATGAATGAATGAGTATGATCTCCAGTCTTAGCTCAATCTACAGCGCTGTACTTCATCTGTCTACAGATTGTTCCATTTCCCTCCACAGCTTTCTCAAACTTTCACCATGATCTTCTCATTCTACATTACCACATGTATCAGAAGATGGATTCATCTCCTCTAAAAACTGAAGAATTCACTCAAACTTCCTATTCATTCTCTCATTGCCATTCATCTACACCCACACCTATTTTCATCTTTTTTCTACCCAGTGAGAAACGCGTGGTTCTTCTAGGCCCAGGCTGACCCTAGCACTCTACTTACTTAGAATTTCCTATGTAATTACTTAGAATTTCCTATATAACTTCAACCTCTGCCTTCCTACCACCTCTTTCTAGGAACTTCTCTGGTGCCTGCCTTCTGTCTTCTCAGATTACTCTGTCTAGTCCTACTTTTATACCAGTGTATGATTAACTGACATTTTTATATGAGGATTTAAACTCTCAAACTAAAGAGAAGTATCTAATAATTAAATTTTAGGGTTCTAGTATTTGTCTGTGGGAAGAATTTGAGGTTTATGGATCTCCCCTGTGCTCATGAAATCATACTTGTTCAACTTTTCCTCTGCCCATATAGGTTAGAAATTCTGTGTGTTGCTGGATACACGGAGGAGATTTGGACTCAATACAGAAGGAATATTTCAAAAGGTTTTTGAAATCAAATTACAGCAATGTTTTAAAGAGAAAAGGAATGGATTACCTATGCCATTTTATAGGAAGTACAAGATGCATGAAAATATTATTTCTGCTTTGTGCCTTTAAAAGGAATATTAAGGAGTTATTCTAGAAAAGATGATGTATTGTTAAAATAGTCACTTACCTTGAATTCTTATCATTGTTATCTGTCAGGATAAAAACAATGCACAAAGCAGTTAGTAATGACAAAACAACATAATCATTAACAATTTTGCTCCAGGAAAACATTCCCATAAATTAGCTTTATTCATGGAACACAGCAAAATGACTATTTGCCTTTTTCTCCTTTTTTTTCATTCTCTCTCTCTCTGTGTCTCTCATTACACAAGAAAACACTCTGTCAGGTTCAGGACTGCTAGCTTGACTACATTTTTCAATATTTCCACAGGATATGAGATATTTGTATTTTCTGGATGTCAGCTGGAGACCAACATTTTTAAATTAGCTGAAGAAAATCTAATTTTTTTAACTACTGAGTAAAATGAGTATTTATTGTTTTGTTCCTTGGAGAGATCAGAATTTATCTGTTTAAAATTGAGACTACAAATTAACTAGACAATAAGATGGTGATGACACTCCCATGCCAGGAGAAACCACAGGATTGAGCTGGATATGATTTTCCCCAGCATAGATGAGAGCAAAAGGAGGGTAGGAAGTGAAAGTGGAGGTGCAGGGTCATGGGTATAGGGAAGAAACAGGGAAGGGAATTTCATGGTGCTAATGTCAACCAACGCCATGGAACAACACATCCTGATTCCCTGCCATTTTAATTCATTTAATTTAAGTAAGTGTAAAGAGACTTTATAGTACAGATAGAGATTAAACATCTTGGGTTTGGGAATCAGAACTGGATTAGGATGATGGCTCCATTAATTATTGGTTATGTAATCTTTGTCAAGTTTTAAAAAATTTATTCAAGTCTCATTTTTTCTTCTGTAAGTTGTAAAATCATAGGATTTGTTTAAAAAACTAATAATTGCAGGGCACCTGGGTGGCTCAATCAGTTAAGCGTCCGACTCTTGGTTTAGGCTCAGGTCATGGTCTCAGGATCCTGAGATGGAGCCCCCTCAGTTGGGCTCCCCCTCAGCACTCAGTGAGGAGTCTGCTTCCCCTGTGTTTTCCCTCTGCCCCTCCCCCTGCTTCGGCACTCTCTCTCCCTCCCTCAAATAAGTAAATAAATCTTTAAAAAAAAATAATAATAATAATAATTGCTTGGAATCACTTGTGCTCACTAGATGTTAGGTCCTCTTTCCCATTATCTCATTATGGCCAGCATAGTCTTGGTAGTTTCTCACTAAATAATTACTACTATAATCAATTATAACAATCGATGGATAAAGGCAATAATAATAACAATGCTGGATATTTATAGATGAGATACTTTCATTCACCCACACTTTGTGCGTTTTTTTTTTCCTAGGTTCTTAATTTATTGTACAGGTTGAGAATTACACGATGAGGTGACATTAGCTTCTCCAGGCATGGGAACTTAACAGGTAAGGTACAGTTTAAAATCCATTTATGCTGCTTTCACAGCTGGTGCTTTTTTAGATCTTAATTTGAAGTATAAGACCATCAAAGAAATGCCTCCATATGTAGCCAGTACATAATTCATTCTACCTGTGAGAGTATAAGAGTTGAAACATGTTTTGATATCAGTGAAATGGAATTGGGCATTAATTTCTGCACCTGCCATGATTTCAGTCTTGCAAAAGGTAACCAGTTCCACTGGCTGTGTCCTTCAGTGTACGCAGCCACCCCGCATTCACCCACACATCATGTGTTTTTCCTATCATTTTCAAACATTCCATTACATTGATTCCGGAGAGAACCACCCATTTGTGGGTAAGAAATGCATCCAGTAATTGTTCTCCATATTATTGTTGGTTTTCTTCTGCCCCTTGAAAGTTCACTAGCTTGTCTAACCTCTTTTTATATGAGACAGTAAGAGGAAAAAGGCCACTTACAGAATCTTTCTGACTCTAAACCATAATTGTCCTCTCCAAATTTCTTCACACTGCGAAGAATTACTGAGTCAGACATGGTGACTGCAATCTGCAGTCAATAACCCTATAAAATAAAATAACCATTGCAATTATTTCTTTTCTCTTCTTTAAACAAAGTAGTCAAATGAAAGAACAGTTTGGTACAAGAAATAACTTTAACAATTTTAATCTTCACTAAAAAGCAGATTTTTTAATTGGTCAATAACTCCATGAGTCTAATTATCAGGAAAGATAAAGCCAAACCATTGATACGGCTTTCTCTAGTTGATGAATGGATAGTTACTTTTTATTTGTTTGTCCTTTCTGCTTGTCTATCCTACCATCCTTCCTTCCATCCTCCCTTCCATCCTTCCTTCCTTCCCTCCTTTCATGAGTAAAAATAAAAACCACTAGAGCTGCACAATCAACTGGTGACATTCTTGGGTCAGTGTCTGGAAGGACAACACTTAACACTGGTGAGTAACCTGCAGTGCTCCTTTGTAAATGCATCTTCAAGACTGAGGATATGCTAAGTCCCACGTGGACCAGGGGAAGAGCTATTCAACTCATTTTATAAAACAAGTATAACCTTGACATTGAAACAAACAAGAATGTTATAAGAAAAAATAAGAGTTATAATTACTTTTTGAAAATAGATTTAAAATTGCTACATACATTAAGTATAATTCAGCAGTTTATGAACAAAATATAATGAGCAATGTTGATCCCAGAATGCAATAATCATTTACTGAAAAATTTGATCATTTTGATAGATGCAAAAAAGGTATTCAATAAAAATCAGTATCCATTGCTGATTTCTAAAACCCTATAAAATTAGAGAAATCATTATCTACAACTCCAATGAATAGATTTTGGGTAATGATCAGCAACGAATGCTAAAACCATTCACTGAAATCCTGGCAAAGATTCAATATCTGGTAATACAAAGTATTGCAAAGATGTAGAGGGAAAACATTATATTAAGTCATTATATCTCCTTAAGCTCCTCTTGGCTCTCACCATTTCTCAGACATTCCTTGTTTTTGATGACCTTGACAGTTTTGAGGAGTATTGAGCAGTTATTTTGTAGAATGTCCCCTAAAATGGGACTTATCTGATATTTTTCTCAGGACTTTTCTCAGGAATAGACAGGCGTTGTATATTTTGGGGAGGAAAACCACAGAGGTAAAGTACCCTTCTCATTACATCTTATCAAAGGAACTATCAACATAATAGTACCAATCAACATGATTTATAAAAAATAAATTTTAAAAAATAAACTCAATATTAAGAAGTAGAGTGAGAAATATCATTTCATTAAGCAATTTAGGAGGTCAGTAAAATTTTAAAAAGAACATCAACTAGATTCAAAATTTTTTTATTCAACAACAAAATTTATTCACTATAGCAGTATTACATTCACAGAATGCAATGCTCTCGGGTTATATCATTTTTGAAATTTTAACCAAAAATTTATTTTTCAAAAGGAAAAGAAATACTTGGATAATGAGAAAATAAGAATACTTTAACAATAGTTGTACTATTACATCTAATTTTAAAAGAAGACTTTTTAAAAAATTCAGTATTCAATGGTTTTTTTTCCTGGCTTAGCTCCTCATTTAAAAAAGGTTTCTTTCCACTGGTGTGCAAATATTTGACAGCACTTAGAGGCCAGTGGTGTAGTGTCTTGTCCATGAACTTCAGAGTCTCACAGACCCTCTGGCTTCTCTCCATGTTGTTGCATATGTTTTTTAACCTCTCTCCAGGCCCTGGATTCTCCATCATTCAAGTCAAATCTGCCTTGCAGGACTAGTGTGAGAATGACATGAAACTGTGTCTGCACATCAGTTGGCAAAAAGGGAGAAAACGGCTAACATTCCTTTGGGGCTTCAAGCCTAGAAACTGTCTTCCTACCCCTCCCTCTGGGGTCACTTGCAGTAACTCACCCTCTATCAAGGGTGACTGATGATCAACCAACCTACTCTCTTCATTTTCCCTCTCTGTGCCCTCCACAATTCTGTACACTTGCTTTCACACTGGGTTTGCTTACATTTCGCTTCTTTCTGAATGCAATGATTTTTGGGATCTCTATTTTACTATTAAAGAGTAATATTCTCAAACACAAAAATTCATCTATAACATGGATTTCCATCCCCGTAGCATTGACAGTGCCCTTCAGCCAAAGACCACTGGGAGCACAACTGTAGTTGAACAATCTGGATTTGTTACTTATTGCAGTGAGGAAGAACATGTGGTGGAGATCATGGGGGCCTCAGTAAGAGGGTGTTAGAAAGAACATCTTTATAGGAATTGGACTTCAGTTAGGTGATTTGGGAGAGGATCCAAGAAAGTGGGGGTTTGCTCCAAATTGGATGCTGTCAGAAAACCAGAGCAATTTCATGATTGGGTGCAGAAATAGTCACTCATAGCAAGAGAGAGGGATGTTTGGTATTTTTGGGGATTGCACAACGACCTTGTTTTTGCCTGTGCCTGGGCAAAATTATGGACTGGACTTGCTTTGTTTCATTTTTATCCTGGTTTCAGAGTGAGTTTGTCTGAGGTTGGTGGGATGGTTAATTTTATGTATCAATTTGAGTGACCTAAGGGATGCCCAGATAGCTGGTAAAGCATTATTTCTGGGTATGGCTGTGATGGTGTTTCCAGAAGAGATTAACAGTTGAATCTGTAGAATACTGTCCTGACCAGTGCAGATGGGCATTATTCATTCAATCCTTTGAAGGCCTGAATAAAGCAAAGTGGCAGAGAAACTAAATAGACATTTTTCTAAAGAAGACATCAAAATGGCCAACAGGTACATGAAAAGATGCTCAACATCACTAATCACCAGGAAAACCCATATCAAAACCATAATGACATATCACCTCATATCTGTTAGAATGGCTATCATTAAGCAGACAAGAAATAACCAGCGTTGATAACCATTTGGAGAAAAGGGAAACTTCGTGCCCTGTTGATGGGAATATAAACTGGTTTAGCCACTATGGAAATCAGTATGGAGGTTCCTTAAGAAATAAAATACAAGGGGCACCTGGGTGGCTCAGTCATTAAGCATCTGCCTTTGGCTCAGGTCATGATCCCAGGGTCCTGAGATCAAGCCCTACATCGGGCTCCCTGCTCCGCGGGAAGCCTGCTTCTCCCTCTCCCACTCCCCCTCCTGCTTATGTTCCCTCTCTCGCTGTCTCTCTCTCTGTCAAAATAAATAAATAAAATCTTTTAAAAAATAAATAAATAAAAATAAAATAAAATACAAGGGTGCCTGCATGGCTCGGTCGGTTAAGCGTCGGCTCAGGTCATGATCTCGGTGTCCTGGGATTGAGTCCCATATCCGGCCCCCTGCTTAGCGGGGAGTCTGCTTCTCCCGCTCCTTCTCCCTTTGCCCCTGCTCGTGCTCTCTCTCTCTCTCTTTCTTTCTCTTTCTCTCTCAAATAAATAAATAAAATCTTTAAAAAAAATAATAAAAAATACAGCTATCATATGATCCAGCAATCCTACTTCTGGATATATACCTGAAAGAAATTAAAATAGGATATTGAAAAAAAAATAGGATATTGAAGAGATAACTGCACTCCTGTGTTTATTGCAGCGTTATTCACGATGGCCAGGATAGAGAAAAAACCTAAGTGCCCATCAATGGACGAATGGATAAAAAAGACGTGGCATATATATATATATACACACACACATATATAGAATATATAAAAAACTATATACATATATATATATATATACACACACATACATATACACATATATACAATGGAATATTAGTCAGCAATAAGAAAGAAGGAAATCCTGTTATTTGTGACAACATGGATGGACCTTGAGGGCATTATGTTTAATGAGATAAACCAGACAGAGAAAGACAAATATTATATGATATCGCCTGTATGTGGAATCTAAAAAAGCTGAACTCATAGAAATACTAGAATAGTGGTTACCAGAGGTTGAGGGGTGGAGGGATTGGGAAGATGTTAAAGGATACAAACTTGCAACTAGAAGATGTTAAAGGATACAAACTTGCAACATCTTCTAGTTGTGCAATCTAATGCACAACATAGTGATTATAGTCAACAATACCACATTGTATACTTCAAAATTGCTAAGAAGCTATATCTTAAACGTTCTTACCACAAAAAAGAAATGGCAATTATGTGACATAACAGAGGTGTTAGTTAAAGCTAGGGTGGTGATTATATTGCCATATATAAATGTATCAAAGCAACAAATTGTATACCTTAAAATTATAAAATGTTATATGTCAAATACATCTGAGTAAAAAGTTAATTTTTCTGAAGTCAGGAAAGGATGAATTTGCTCTTTTACTTTAGCTGGGACATCCATCCTTTCCTGCCCTTGGACGTCAGAGCTGCTGGTTCTTGGCCCTTCAGTTGGTTGCTCAGTCAGAAACTGGAGCTAGTTCCCTTATCTCTGCCCAGCTCAGAAATGGCAGTGATGACTTTTGAAGGCCATGGTGTTGAAAAAGTTTATGACTTGCTGCATCCACAAAGACAGTGGCAATTTTATAATGTTCAATCTGGGAAAGTGCAATGAGATACAAAAATTACTAGAACGAATAAGCAAAAGCCTTGCTTATGATATTTTCCCGGAAAGGCGATGTTTCCAGATGTTAGTTGAATTGCCTCATATCATTATAAGCATAGAATGAAATTCTGGTATATCATTAGACCATGTGTTCTTCCACTGGTTAGTTCCCTTTTTATTAGATGAGATCCCGGGAAACATAGCAGATGCTGGAAAGTATCTCTGATAGTTTCTGAAACCCTGGAAACAGAGTGGGAATCTAGTTTTCAGTGATAAACAGGTTTGTTTCACAGGGTCGCAAGAAAGTGTCTCCTCCTCACCAAGTACATTCCATCATTTAAGCGTGCTATGGTGTTTTGTCACATCATTTCCCCATCAATATCAGCAGATGTAATGTCATCTAATTCTACTCTCTCAGCTGTTATCTATAGTACCTAAGCTAACAATTTTGTTCTTGAGCTTCCTAAAGTGTGTGAAGGGTTCTTGGGTATCACACATTGCAGGAAGCTTTAATTAAGGTTTCCCAACAATTTACAATAACAAAATTTTACTTTAACCACACAGAAGAACTCAGAATTGAAAATAAGTTACCATGCTATTTTCTTTTCACTCTGCCTTTTCATAAAGTAAATGATTTTAATCTGCAAAAAAAAAATCTCTTTGGAAACAGATTGAGAACTTTCAAGTCTTCCAGGAAGATGGTCTTTCAATAAACTTAGAAAATCCAGGAGTTGAAAGTCAGAAACCAAGATTTCTAAGCACTGACTGGCAGACTTTGGCCACCTAATTGTGGAACGCCCCAAGAATTTTTAATTGTCCATGCCAGCACCACCGTCCCTCTTTGCTAAATGGCATGTGGTCTATGTGCAGACTATCTGTAGTTCTGTTTAACTACCCAGGGTTGAAGTTTTCTTTTCTTTGATAAGATGTGTAATCTTATCAACACAGGACAGTCTCCTGACCTTTACTGGTAGACACATCACAGATAATTCTACTTTAGAACACTAGCAACAATATTCTGGAAGACCACTACTGGGGAGGAGAGAGAGAAGTCAGAAAGTAACACCTGGATGGGTTGCCTGACAGAACCTAGCACACTGACAAACCTCAGAAAGGGGATAAATAAGCAGTTCCATGGAGGACTTGAAGCTGTCAAAATTAGATGAGATAAAGTTCTATAAGCCATATCAGGGACAAACCAAAAATCCAAAGAATACAAAATGTCAGTGTCCACCATGGACCATTATATCAAGGCTGCTAAGTGTGACTTCAAGATACCGGTCTGGCTATTGATGCTGCAGGAGAGAAGAAAGAAAGAAAGAAAAGAAAGAAAGAAAGAAAGAAAAGAAAGAAAAAGAAAGAAAGAAAGAAAGAAAGAAAGAAAGAAAGAAAGAAAGGAAGGAAGGAAGGAAGGAAGGAAGGAAGGAAGGAAGAAAGGAAGAAAGAAAAAGAAAGAAAGAAAGAAAGAGAGAGGAGAGGGGAGAGGGGAGAGGGAGGGAGGAAAGAAGAGAGAGAGAAAAAAAAAACAGGTCAGGGGTGAAAATATTTCTTTCAGAAGGTGGAATCCTTCCAGGCTGAAGATACAAATATAATAGGAGCATTCGGCCCACTGCCTGTTTTTGTAAATAAAGCTTTATTGGAACTCAATCATGTCTATTAGTTTTAATTTTGTCTTGGGCTGTTCTTGTGCTACAATGGAGGAGTTGAGTAGCCGTGACAGAGACTATAGTTACGTCCCCCCACCCACCCACCAATGCTTAAACCATTTATTTTCTAGCCTTCTGCAGAAACTGTTTGCTGACTCCTCTATTATGAGGTCAGTTCAGGACAGCTTGGTGCCTGGGGAGAAATATTGCCTGATTTACCCAACCTAAAAATCATATGGAGCACCAGTCCTCCAACCTGCCCTGTCCTTGGGGAACTTACAGTGTGGCAGGGAAGACAGGTGCCACATAAGAAATGACAAGCATGGTGATTGTGAGTGAAGGGAGAGCATGGGCATCTCCTAGATCCTCAAGCAATGGCCCTGCCCTGGTCTAGAGAGCTGGGGGAGGCTTTGGAGCCAATGCATTTTCAGCATGGGACATAGGAGATGAGGGTGAGTTAGCCAAGGAAACAGGAGAGAGAAAAGCATCCCAGCCAGGGAAGAGCACATGAAAAGACCCAGACCCCAGAGAGAGCACATAGGCTCAAGGACAGAAGAATGTCCAGTGAGTGTGAGGGAAAGTGGATGGACATCTCTGAAGGATGTGGTTGCTGGATTCCTCGGGGCCTCATCTTTAACACTGAGGACTTGGGACCTTATCCCAATGGCAAGGGAACTAATAAGGACTTTTAGGCAAGATAAATATATGATCATTTTTATACTTGTTAAAAAAAAAAGCCACTGCTCTGATAAGGCTTGGAACTTGAGAGCCCACACACAGAAGGACTAGGAAATCTGGTTGGGAAGGGTGAAACATTCTGCCAGGCCAGGCAGCAGGCACCCTCATTTAGCAGGGCATGGACCATACAGTTCATCTGTCTCCCGGGCAGATAGGCCTGAAGCGACCAAATGAAATAGGCTTGTGGTGCCCCATAGCTAAGCCATCAGTGCCCAGCTCCTGTCACTTTAAGCTCTTGTCAGTTCTCTACTCTATCAGTGTTTCATGTTTTCAGTTGTCTCTGGGGAGATTTGTTCTGTTTTCCATCTCATTTTCTCCCGAATACTATCTTTGAAACATGTTGATCTTGCTTCTACTGAATTCAGGAGGAAGAGGCTGAGGTTTGTCTCATCCAGACCAAGATAATAAGGAAGATCTAAATGCCCTACCAGCCATTGAGGTGCTGGAGGGATAGTGAGGGGTACAAGCCAAGCTCAGGGGTGGAGTGGCCTTCACCCCACCCCACAGCACGCTGTGAATATTCTCCTTGGCTTTTCTCTTGTGAGGCCTTTCCTTTTGTAAAAGCTATCAAGGCCGCCAGCACCACACGCTCCCCCTTCCCTGGACTGCTCAGAGAGACAAGCAGAACTGCTCCTGGTCCTTTTGAATTTGAAAGTCACCTCCTAAGCCACAAATTCTGATTTTTTTTTAAGCCCTGACAATGCCTTTCACTGCTGACATGTAGAAATGCAGGTAGCACACTTTTGATATTATTAAGCCCAGCAAATGATTTGTTTCTCCCAAGGATCATTGAAAGGAGGAAAGAAATATTAGTTTATGCTAAGAAGCAAGAAAAATAGAAAACTACTGCCTTGCAGATAAGCCGGTTGTAGCGTGATAGTGTGTGTCGACAATGAGGAAGATAGGCTAGGATAAAAATGAGGCCCCTTTAGCCCCGAGGGCTGCAGCTGATGGGCAAGGGAATGAAATTAAATGGAGGACTAAAGAATTGCTCTCAAACAAAAGAGTTTAAGGTCAACGTCACTCCCAGCTTTTCTTGGTCTCTACACCCATAGTTTTCCCATCTTCGCAAAGCAACACCCAACTCTAACACTTAATTCTTGCAATGGAACTTGGACATTTTTTTCTTTTTCTTTTTTTTTTTTTTAGCAATTTCAGTGTCTTTTAAAACCATGGAGTGAGCAGGGGTTTTTTTTTTTTTTCCCTAAATTACTTCCTAATCTACTTCCAGCGTTCATCAGCAAATATTTGTCGCCATTACTGTTAGTAGGAGGACACACAAATTATTCAAAGGCCTTACAATCAAGTGGGGGGCAGGGCATGTAAACAGTAACTCCCAGGCAGGGAAATGGGGGCTCCGGAGATAACAGCAGAGGGTTACATACAGAGCAGAGGAGGAGGGTACCCAAGTCTGGAGGGGTAGGGGGCATGTGGGGCTGAGGTGGGGGTGTGGCTGCACACAGAAAGAACTATTAAACAAGAGCCTGTAAATAAGTTAATACTTTATAAGTTTAATGATAACCACTATTACATCCCAATATTAAGAGTTTGGGGTGCAGTCATTATAATTTGCCTCTAATATGTCTAGTAAGCTGATCTTCCCTCAAAACACTTGGAAATAGCACACCTTATTCCCAGATATCATTCAATATTTGATCAATGTGTTCAAATCATCAACAACATGTGATTTCTACTAGCTAGGGAAACCTAAAAAGGGAAATTAGTTTCCAGAAATCAACCTTTCCCCCCTCTAGCCATGCATCCAGAGCTCTTGTTTTTTAGTATCTAAATTATTGAAAACTGGGAGAATGAGGAAATGAGCATGGTGTTGGAGAAAAGAGAAAGCCGGTATAGTTCTCTATTAAACCAGCACCAGCTTTCTGGGATGGGATTTGTGGTTATCTGTGCAAATAGCATTGTGCTTTCATAAAACCAAGATTTAGAAGTTCACTAGCTTTTTTACTTTGGGCAGATTATTCGATCTGTTCACCCATTCACACCACACACCCCATACACCACACGCACACACACACAGATTCTCAAGACAGCTGGTGCATAAAGTAGTATTGCTTTATAAATGAGACAGCGACCAAGAGCCATCTGTATTGTACATCATATTATGAAGTTATCGGTGTACTCTGCAAGTTCCTATCCAAGCATTACAGTATTGTTTATCACATGACAAGAGGACAGCCTTTAGTAAACCAGAAACACAACACCCCACGAAGTAGAAGCTAGAGGACATGGACTTGCAGAATGTAGTCCTCAATGCTATAGAGAGTAGAAGTCACTTACCTGCGAGTGTGAACTTGAGGAAGCCAGAGAAACAAGAGACTCTACTGTGGAGAGTCAAAGCGTTTTACAATCTTTTCCAACCTCAGTTTTCATCATTATAAAACACTGAACAGAATTCAAGCTTTTTTGAAAACACTATCTATTTGCTGACAGGTCAATGCCCCGAAGGCCAACCCATGCACAGTTCAGTGACATCTGAGGAAAGGTTGAGCACACTGGAAACAATAACCCCAAACAACAGTGTGCTTGGGAAGTCGTCTGAGGGTGCCAACAGGCTTTGGAAGGTGTAGATTCCCTTGAAAGGAGACACAGACCCTGGCACGGCCCGCCCCTCCCCACCCTCAAGAGCGCTGTGATTTTGGCTCCCTCCACCCCTTCTTATCATAAGCCCTTGGTCTTAAGAAGTTACTGTAAAACATGACAAGACCAAAACTGAAAAACCTTGAGACTTTTCCCCTCAATTTGAAATATTACTCTTGGAAAATCCTTATGTTGCAGGCCCTGATATTCCTGTTGGAGATAGATAACCAGGAAGAGCACCTGAAACAGCCTTTTGCTCAAAACTCTGCGTGCTCACATGACCCTTGCACCCTGGCCTCCACAGTCAATGACCTCAGACTCTACCTGCCAGAGGAAGCCTTGTGTAAGGAGAGATAAATGATTTTTTAAAAGTTTTAAATTAACAGAAATCCAAGTCAAATAAACACATATAGCTTCTCCAATGGCTTTGTGTACGTATTAGAGACAAATCCGGATCTGTTCTTCTTCCTTCTTGTTAATTCTTCCATTTTCTCAAATGCTCTTATTTTTTCTCTCTCCTTGCCTGAGCTAATCCTTTCCTGAGTGCGCCTCACTCTGGCCTTCAACAATGAATAATAATAGCCAATGTTGGTCAAGCCCTTGTTGAGTACCTGGCTCAGGTGAAGAGTTTTATTTTTACCCCCCTTATTTGGATTTCTCAATAACCATAGGGGTTAGGTACTATCATCATCATCCCCATTGTATAGTGGCGGGAACCGAAGCACAGAGAAGGTAAATAACTCACCCAAGGTCTTACGGCTAAGGTATAGAGCCTATGCCCCTAACCACTCTTTGTAAAATTCCACCCCATGCTCTAAAACACAGGTGATGGGCTAGTGCTTCTCAGTTTACAGAAAAGAAGATCAAATAATAAGACTAAATTTTCTCAACTTAAAATTTGTCAGCCATAAACTTTTTAAAAATTCAGAATCCACAGGACACCTCAGTGGCTCAGTCAGTTAAGCATCTGCCTTCAGCTCAGGTCATGATCCCAGGGTCCTTGGGATCGATACCTGCGTGGGGCTCCCTGCTCAGCAGGGAGTCTGCTTCTCCCTCTCTCTCTGCCCCTCCCCCTCTGCTTGTGCTCTCTCTCTTTCTCTCAAATAAATAAATTAAAAATCTTTAAAAAAAAATTCAGCATCCACTACTGTTTGTCTCTACTGGAATCCATATATACGATGGTTTATAATTTAGCCCCAAATTTTGTATGTTATTATATGTATACGTTAAAATTTCCATATATCAAGGTCAGCAAACATAAGAACATTCTAACATGTTCCGCTCTCTGAACTGGTTTGAGAAGCCCTGAGACAGGTCGACTTCTGAGGCAACACAAATGTAGTGATATTGGGTTTGGCACCAGTTAGGACCCAGGACAAAGAAATTTTCTCTACACAAAACCAAAAAGACAGCACAGCTGTGGGGTTGTAGCCTTGATTGGGAGAAGATTCTCAGTAGAATGTTGTGACCTTTGTTCTGGTGAAATTGTTGATAATAAGCCACAGGATGGAAAGGAGCTTCTCACTGGTCCCAGTGTCCTAAGCCTTCCCTTTGTGTAACATGTAGATGTACAGGAAGATTAAAAAAAGAGAGTTCTAGAGCTAGAAACAATATTGCAGATATTCTGTTCAGCCACCTCATCTTGTAGATGCAAAACCTGAGGACAGTGCAATGACCCGTCCTGAGCGCCTTGGGGGTTTAATAACATCTTCTTCTGCTCCTTCAACTCTGGCCCCTCGACTAGCCAGGACAGGACGAATACCAAGTTAATCATTCCTATTTTGTTTCAGCAGTAGGTGAGCTTTCTTTATGGCTTGTGGTCTGAAAACAGGTAGGGCTGTGGTACCTGCTGTCTTCCAGTTAAAACGTCAGCTGAAACACTTTTGAGTTCTTACTGTGTGACAAACACTGTTCGAAACTCTGGGGTACAGTATGAGCAAAACTGATGTGAATTCTTGCCATCAGGTATCCTATATTCTGGTGGGGGTAGGGGCAGCGGTAGATAGTAAACAACAAGCACAACATATGTGCAGATGGTGATAAATGCTACGGAGAAAAAGATTAGAGGAAAGGTATGTGATAGGGAGTATGTGGATGTGTGAATGTGTGTTTGTGAGGTGAGCAGGAGGTTCACCATCTTAAGTCAGGTGGTTAGAGAAGGTGACATATGAGGAACAACCTGAGGTGAGGGAGGAAGTACATGAGAGTCTGAAGGAACACTAAGTGCAAAGCCCTGGGGCAGGGGAGCACCTGCTATCTTTAAGGAACCACAGGGAAGTCCGTATAGCTGGAGTAGAGTAAGAAAGAAAGAGAACAGTAGTAAATGGTATCATTGTAATGGCAGTAGGGCAGTGGTTCTCAAAGTATGATTACTAGACCAGCAGCATCAGTGTTAGCTGTTAAAAATATGAATTCTGGGGCCCACTTTAGATGTCCTGAAAAAACCTCTTGGTGTGGCACTCAGCATGCTGAAGTTGGAGAACCACTATCATAGAAGCTTGGAGGTCACTTTAGACCAATTAGGACCATGGTTCAAACTCATACCCAAAAATGCCTCAGGGAAGGCCCCAAATGATGAAGATAGAATTCAGCCAACAATTGTTCCAAAAATTGTACTGAGGAAGAAAAAAACTGTATTGAGGATCATTCTGGACACTTTGGAAGAAACAAACGAAATCACTATTACTTTCATTCTTTGAATCATTCAAACACAAATCATTGAGCATCTTCTATTTGCAAGATACCATGTCAGATGTTATGCTGGTTGCCGACTTGTACACATTAGAGTTAGTGTCTTCGAGAATGTATAAATCTTAAAGGGAAGATAAAGCTCCACATAAAAAGCAATTAAGAATAAGGCAGAACAACATCAAGTCAAAATGTTCAATGCATCTCTTAAATATTTTTTAAAAATGACACATCAGTGGGGAGAGGAATCACCAGGGAAAGAGTTTCCGAGGAGAGGGAATTGGAGTTATGTGTCAGAGTATGAGGAGGACCCAGTCAGGAACACAGCATGAGCAAGGTCATAGAACACACACAGGCAGCATTAAGAAGAACCAGGTGAGAGAAGAGGGTAGAAAACAGTGGGGTTGTTTTGTTTGTTGGCAAACAGTGGCGTTTAAGTTTGCTGAGGTAAGTGAAGACAGGCAAAGAAGGGTTTTCAGTGCCAGTAAGATGAGTTGCAGATAGTCTGACCGAAGCTTCAGTCCAGAGGAAGTCATGCACATGTACACCAAAGACAGGCTCTTTTGCTTGGTCATTACTATCCTGAAAAGTCAGTATAAATTGTGAAAATCCAGCTTGACACAATATAATTGGCTGTGTTGTTGTGGCATAAAGACTAGTAGAGAGAAAATGTTGGAATTAGAACTTCCTTGGGTTACTTTCTGTTTTTAAAGCAACCCATGTGGAAGGATACAATCTCCATAGTTTAGTTCACTGCAAAGGGAGGCAGAACAGACCATACAGTGAAAAGAGCACAGGTTTATGGGGTAATGAGAACTGGGCTCATATCCTGCTTCTGTCACTTACTTGTGATGTGATTTTAGTTAAGGTAATGATACTTACCAATTATTTCCCCCTCACATCAAGTTCAACTGTCTTTGAGTGAAGGGAAGTTGATGGCCAGAGAAGGTGCTCGGCTCTATAAGTCACTCAGAAATCCAGGTTGATAGAGCCTCTGCTATCCTCAACGTGTGACTTTCTAGGTCTTGGACATTGGCATCTAGCCATCACACAGTGGAAGAGAAAATATGGAGTGTTGCATATGGACAGTGTCCACAGACCAAACCTAGAAGTGGCATCCATATGCCATTGGCCAGGACTCTGTCACACGGCCCCATCTAACTGCTGAAGAGACTAGGAAATGAGGTTTAGCTGTGCACCCAGGAGGTGTGGTTAAAAGCTAGCCAATCTCAAGAGATGGGCTTTGGAATCACAGCAATATGAATTCACTTCCCAGCCATGTGACTTTGGGCAGGTTACTTACTCTCCACCAGCCTCAGTTCCTTCATCAGTAAAATGGAAGTAGTAATAGCTTCATTAGAGGTTGATGAAGTCTGCTTGAACTTACCTGTGCCAAGAGCCTGGGCAAACATGCTGCATGTGGGAAAGAAAGTATTTTGGATGCGGGGACATCCTTTTACCTAATCCTCAAAGGAATCCTCCAGAAGTGCCCACCACTAGTTGATCTGACCCCCAGGGATTATGCCCTAAAATGGGTAAGTTTTGATTTGGAGTCTGAGATTTCAGTCTATCTGGATGGCATGTGGATATTCACCCCCGACCCAACATGCCCCAAGCTAATGATTGGTGTAACCTCCTTAATCATACTGCACTGTGAGTCTGGCTGGCTCTGCCCTAAAAATACATGCTTAAGATTTTTTTAATGAATTTCCTCAGTCTCATTCCATCTAGTTAAAGGTATCCACAATTGATACCCATGATAAGATATTAATAGCACATAATTTCCCAGAAGCCCTTCCAAATAAGTCAGTGCTATCCAAAAAAGCTTGGCCCTCTGGTTGTGCAGGGGTGATCCAGTGTTAGTGTAGTAGGAACACTGTGAACCAATGACCTGTATATTTTTCTCTTCCCCTTTCCTTATCCTGTGATTCTTCTCCAGTCAGGCAGTTAGATGAATTTTGTATAGCTTGTATCTACCAAAATCCGTATATTCCTAATTTTGTTTTGTAGACATGTAAAAAAGACTAGCAGAAAAATATAAATGTGATTATCTGCAAGTTATAAAAATTGAG